AGATAATGTGACGTGTTTGAATCTGTGTGTGTGTGTGTGTGTGTGTGTGTGTGTGTGTGTGTGTGTGTGTGTGTGTGTGTGTGTGTGTGTGTGTGTGTGTGTGTGTGTGTGTGTGTGTGGTGTGTGTGTGTGTGTGTGTGTGTGTGTGTGTGTGTGTGTGTGTGTGTGTGTGTGTGTGTGTGTGTGTGTGTGTGTGTGTGTGTGTGTGTGTGTGGGTGTGTGTGTGTGGGTGTGTCTCAGGAGAAGGCCGTGGCCCAGAGGCTCCAGCTGCGTCTCTTCTGTGAGCGAGGTCACCACTGTCTCTCCCACTCTGACCCCAGGGTGCAGCAGCAGGTCAACTGATGTTTTAAAAAATCATGGCACATTTTACTTTTTCTTTTTTTCTCGTCTAACATCCTCTCTATTTTCCATGTCAGGCCTTCCTGGGAGTCTGTGACGTTCTGACGGCTCACTCCTTCCAGCTGCAGGTGTGGGACCCCAGCTGCTTCGGGCCTCTGCTCTACACCCCCAGTCCCAAACTGCAGAGGGCGCTCTCCACCTTCGTGTGCATGCACGTCTTCACTGGACCAGACTGTGAGAGCCAGAGCGGGGGTGAGACATCTACATGATTACATGAAGTGTTTATATTACATCATTTCTTTATTGCTGAAACTAGATGTTTCATCGTCACTGTGCAGGATGATTATGTGCTGAGGCTGTTTCTCAAATGAATCAGCTTAACTGTGTTCCTCTGTGCTCACCTACAGTTAATTTCAAGACTTGTACGAACAAGCATAAATATCTGCATATTAATAGAACCAAATACAATTCAACAAGCTCATTAGGCTCTTTTTCTGTGGATAAACAAATAATAAGTTGACCTTTTTTTAGCATTGAACAGTTATATAAAATATAAACTATGTGAAAAGTTTAGAGGTTTACACATCTGAAAAGTAACACACACTATTTTTGTTAAGGGCCACAAAAGTTTTGGAAACAACTGGTTTAATTTAAACAATATATCATTTTTGGAAAAGTAAAATAGCAATCTGATGTAGTGAAGAAAAATATACAATATTTCCCTAATAGAGTAGAAGTGTAAAGTAGCATAAGCTGAAAATCCTCACGGCTAAAACAAGCTTTAGACACGCTCTGTTATGCACTTAGGAGTCACAAATCCTGCAGGTCCGACTCCACACATCCGAACAGCTGCCTTCCTATAGGTGTGTGTGTGATGATCATGCACCCAGGAGTGTGCGGGACCCCCAGCAGAAACACAGTGCAGAGTTTACTCAGCAGATGGCACTCTCACTCTGTGGAGCTCAGCCTCCTTCCCTCTGAAGCTGTGATTCAGTGCAGCTGTTCTCTGGGTACAGACATGCAGATCTGAAATGCACGGCCACACATCAGGCCTGATAGCTGACTGCTGAGCTGCCTGCTGACTGTAAACTGGGTCTGATTTTACCACCTGACCTAACAAGTGATCCTCAATTACAAAGGAAACCCTGTTAATATCCTCACTTTGAAACTGGCTGTACTAATTTGTAGTAAAGGATGTTATACTTTGTTTTCAAAGCCATGCTGCTTGTAAATTGATGACAGCAGTGTGTTCCCGTCTGATCTGAAATGAGTCAAACAAGATTGACATGTTGGAAATACGTAATGTTTTCTTTGTAAAGTCCTGCAGGTGAAACCTATAAATCCATTGATGGCTGACTGTCACTAAAACATTTTATTATCTTTACAATAGCTTTACTTTCCGAGACATATTGCATCCAAATGTGGGATCGTCCAGAGAAGTCAATAGCGGTCCTGGTGGGAATCTCTTAAATGTTAAACAAATACAATACAGGATTATTGTTTTTCGAACATGTAATAAAAAGCTATTGTTTTATTGGATTTGCCTGGTAAGGGTTTTGTTATATAGGCAGTGTTTTCTATTAGCTGCTGGATCAGAGATCACTCGGAGGGTAAGGGCCCCGAGTTAAATCATAAAATCAGGGCAATCTCTTTCCGTGAGAAAATTCCATTAACTCTGGCTCACCTCTGAGCCTATTTTATTACCCTTGTGAAAGATTGAAGCCACATGGTGTCACAACCATAACTCTAGTCTTATGTTATCTTTGATTTCCACCTGCTAAAGCCATTGTCCTCAAACTTACTAAAACACTCTGCTTTGTTCTCTTAGTTTCTGTTATATGATTTGTTATGATTAATCACTCTCTTCCCCTTCTCTCACCCTCGACCACTTCACATCCAACCGCACGCTTCATCTCCATCTGGCTTCCTCAGTCAGTGGGAACTCTGAGGAGGAGAGGCTGGAGGAGCTACACAAACGCAGAAATATGCTGGCAGCCTTCTGCAAACTCATAGTGCATCGAGTTCTGGAGATGAGCATGGCAGCTGAGGTCTTCATTTACTACATGAAGGTGAAGCTTAAAAAGATGGACAATTTGGAAAAAAGGCTAATCAGCTTTCCTGCCAAAAGTTAGATTGATACCCCTCTCATGTCTGTAATAATATGAAGCTATACCCAACCGTTGGTTAGCTTAGCATAATGACTGGAAAGAGCTAGTCTGGCTCACTCCAAAGGTGATAAAAACCCACATCTGTTCGCATGTGATCATTTTAAGATCGGGGTAGACTGGGTAGTCACCCAAGATCTTCAAATGATCAAGAAGAAACAAGCCGTCATAAAACAGCCACTTGTGTTTTTAACACTGTAGTTTTGAATATATTATACAAACAACATACTCAATTTTAATTACAGGCCTTTAGAAGTGCAGGTAGATACATGTTATTACCTTCCAACAGAGTCAGGTTAACTGTTTCCCAAGTTAAGCTAAGCAGCTTTTGGCTGTAGCTTAAAATGTACAGTCTGGCATCATCAGGTTTTGATCTAATAATTAAACTCTTGGCACAATAAAAAATAAATAAATAAAACCCTTCCTTTAATACAAGTATCAAATCAAATCAAATCAGGTTTTATTTATATAGCACATTTAAAAGCGATTTTTGGTCGAGCCAAAGTGCTGTACATGTAATAAAAACACATTACTACAATCACAATAAACGACAATAAGTTACAACAGATATATATAAAAAACAAAATTAAAATTAAAACACAAGGAAAAGTCAGGAGTCGTGCTAAGTATGTGCTACATAGCTAACTTCTCCCTGTTTGTTCCAGTACTACAACGAGTTTGGAGACATCATCAAGGAGACGATGTGCCGGACCAGACAGATGGATAAGATAGAGAGCGCTCGCACTCTGGTGCTCTGCTTGCAGCAGGTAGAGGAAATACAAATATGCACATGTCCTGTAACTGTGCTCATTGATTGTTAGGATTCATTTGCTGTTTTTTTTCTGTTCTGTTGTGACATTTTGTATGCTGCTGTCTAGGTCTGTCTGGGATGCTGAATTTAAATGGGAATATTCCTGTTTGTCCTCTTTCCTCAGCTGTTGGTCCGTCTGAAGCGTGAGCAGGAGAGCGGGGGGGCTCACCCGGGGGTCCAGACCTTCACCAGCATCAGAGAGCTCGCCCGGCGCTTCGCCCTCAGCTTGGGGGACCAGTTCAAGTTTCGTGAGTGTGTCGTCATGATCCACAGGTTAGCTGGGGCTCTGTCGCATTACCTAGACTATTGTTTTCACTTTTTCTTCTGCCTTAATTGTGAGTTTTGTATTTGCAGGAACGGCATAGAGTTTGTGTTCAGCGAGTTCAGTCAGACGGCAGAAACACCTACTCCGCCGTACCTCTCCTACCTGCCCATCCTCAGTGAGTTCTCCAGCAAACTGCTCAAACCAGACAAGAAAACAGTGTAAGTGCCGCGCGAAAAACATACAGGCTTACGAACATGTTTTTAAAAGTGGCTCTCTGAAAGTTTTGTTGCTGTCTGTGCAGGTTCTCCTACCTGCAGAAGCACACAGCCGAGAAGGTTATTGACCTCAGGGAGGAGAGCTGGCAGCCGCTCCTCTACTATCGAGCCTCCCTGCTGGCTGCAGCTGAAGGGGAGGATGCCGCGTCGTACGTTAGCTCTGACAGGAAGTACCTGCCCAGTCGCTCCAAACTAAAACTAGAAGGTGCTAGAACTAATTGTCAAATCAAGCACATAAGTGTTGTGTTCTTAAAGGTCACCTATTATGCAAAATGCACCTTTTCATGTCTTTTGCACATAAACATGTGCCCTGATCATAGACTGTATATATAAAGGTCCTGATCCATGTATTATATAAGCCTGTCTGAAAATGAGCTGATCAGATTTTGGCCACTTTATGATGTCATAACGATTTTTTTGGCTTGTGTAACGTAAAAGACAGAGAATCAGCACTTTTGAAACAGGGCTGAAACAGAGGGGTTTATGGGATGCTACAATGCATGATCTGTTTGGTGTTTGGAGCCAAACACTTCAGAGACATGTTTGTATATATCTGAGACCTATAATATATTGATGAGAAACAGTATAATAGGGGACCTTTAATGCAGCCAGCTACATCATGTTTGTCTTTTTCTTATTCCTTAAGGATTCCCGTTGAGCCCTTCTGACTCCAAAGTAGCTAAGGTTAGAAAGTCCAGCTTCAGTCCAAGGTGAATTGATTATGTCTAAACCAGTGACACATTAGATCTCCTCCACCATGCTCATACTAATAACTGTGACCTCCTGTAACTCCTCAGCCATCAGGAAAAGACAGCAGACACGGATCCCTTTTCCATCCCCGTGGAGCCTCCTGCAAAGAGATCCAACATCCAGGGAACTGTCCTCAGCATCCTCAACGAGGCGGACGACCACACTGTGGAAGTTGAACTGTAACAGTTAGTTTGTTGGAGGATAAGACCTCAAACATTTCAAGGGGGCTTTCCTTTATTCTGTCTCTGTAATTATGTGAGGAAATACCGGCAACCCATCCCCCTCTACAGTCCTGTTAATACAGGTTTGTTTAAATACAGTACAATATGTTCAATATAAGGACACGTCTGCTACATCCAGATTGTTTTTTGTATCAACAAATCCCACGAAAACACTTCAGCCAATAGGAATTTATTAATTGTGCAGAGAGAAGCTGATATATTCTATTATTGTGCCATAAATCCACATTTTGCACAGGATTGTTACACATAAATAAGACACATTGCACTAAATCACATGTTTCTACATTGTAAAGACATGGGAATTGTATTTGACTTTGAATCACATGTCCCCTCCGGCTGCTGGAAACACTGATTGGAGCAACACATATGTATTTATCCACAGCAGACAAATGCACTTTCACTGTTGATTTAGTTTTATTACAGAGCCTATTCAAAATAGGCACATTTATACATTTCTCATAAAATGGGCTTAGGGCAACACATACAGGCTCATGCAGTCAGAAGGACTTCAGTATTTTTCAAGGGGTTTGTTAAATATATAAAATAACACTATATTTATCTTTGTTTATCCAATAATGTCTCAAATTATTTAAGTTAAGTGTTTTTTATTCACAGACCACTTTCATTTGAGGACCAAGTGAATGAGTATTTTTTAAGCATTTTTCCCTAAATACATAATTTACCTGAATGTTACGAGTGACATTTGGATCACACTGAGATCCAAAACATGAATATTATGATATTACTCAGTATTGTAAGAATGTTGCTTTATTGTCATGCCTGCCACTTTATTATAACTCCTTGTTAAGGTTTGCCAAACATTCCTTATGTATTACAGTTATTAATTTAAATAAAAAAAGTCAATCTGGTACATTTCTCCATATATTTAAATTGTTAATTTGTATTACTGCCTTACAGCTTGTCCCACTTTACACCCATGAAGTCATTTCCCAAGAGGGTCAACATCTGTATTTAGTTTAGTCTAAAATAACATGACTGAGCAGCTGCAATTTTAATCTAACAGACATTTATATGTATAGAGCATATCAAAAACAGTCTGTACTAGATGCTTTAAATGAAAAAGCACAGTCCATGTATTTACTTTTCCATTAAAAGGCTTTATTATTAATTTAAAGAAAAGCAAAACATTTTAATATTGGTTCCTTTTGTTCTGTCAAAGTACATAAAAATGAAGTACTTGGTAACATAGAAAAAAGTCTCTAAAACAATTTCCCGAATCATTTACAACACAGCAAGCACCAAATAAATATTTACAGGTATTTATAAACTCTTCTCTAATAATTTAATAATAACCCCATCTCACAAATACAGTAAATATATGTAATAATGAGTGCAGACCTGTACAAAATACTGTGTGTGTGTGTGTGTGTGTTTGGCAGTGTGAACTGTGTGCAGCAGGCTTGACGGTGGTTTGTTTGGCATCTCCTCATTTCAACAAACACCCATTCATGAATTTACAGTCTTGTAGAAAAGCTTCCATTATGATCACTGGAATGTAACACTAGCCAATGACTTCAGATGATAATTAGTTCAAATCCCGAATCAACCAATCAGAATGTGATTTAGCTCATGAATAACACGATACTGATTTTCAGATGAGATAACACTCGCCCCAGATATTTTTTATACAAAGCATTACACAACTTTTCCTGTGTCCACGTGTGTGTGTGTGTGCAGAGGTCTAAACGTGCCGCTTGTTACACCACAAAGTCAGCTGTGATGACTTCTGTAAGCGAGGCTGGTGAACATATTTAAAACATTCGGTAATTTGAGCAACCACCATCTGCTCTGATCATATTTCCTGTCCAAATGTGTGATACTGTGTCCATTTTTCCCAGCACATCTGACCCCACCAGTGCTCTGTTCACTTCCTGTTTATTGAAGTTTGTCCTGAACCTGTGAATCTGTCTTGATGAGATTCATCCACTGCAGGTTGGGCTGTTTCCTGGAGCGCACGGCACTCGGCAGGTGAGAAAACACTACAGGATCACTCAAAGTCATCTTCATATTCATATTCGTCCAGGTTGCAGTGTGGACTGGGAATCTGAAAGAAGTGTCTCTTTGTCAGACCCAGCTCAGTGGAGATGTGCTGCCCTAAAGGGCTCAGAGGATTTTCATACCTAAACAGAAACATAGAGGAAAAGATCAGGGATCATTCAGACAAAGTCAATGTTCTCAATTATAACACTCAAACTGTTTACATTTGGAAAAGCTAATTTGCTTTCCTGCTGAGAGTTAAGAAAAAATAACCAGTAGCTGCTTACAGGAGCATAGCAGAAATACTAGATGCCTCTATGCAATATTGTGCCAATATTCATAGTGGCCAACCGTGTAATTACAACCATCCCATTGGCTCATACTATGGTCTTTCTTATGCTAAGCTAATATAACTAGCAGCTTCATTTGAACTATACTCATACAAGAGTGGTGTCGATCTGTTCTTCTTACTTTTAGCAAGAAAGCGAATAAGTGTAATTCCTTAAAACAGACAGGAGATTTTGAACTGGAGAGAACAAAGGAGCAACACATGACGGTACGGACAGAGATGGTGTACAGTTCTTCCTCAGAAGTGGAAGTTTAAAAACAGAAACCGTCTGGTTCCAAAACACACTCCCAGCTCTGAGACATGGCCACACACACACACGATACAGTGCCGCCTGACAGAAGGACTACCTGCTGTCAGCATCAGATCGGACGGGAGGGGGATAGGGGAGCCAGGAGTGGGTTTAGGACTGGACTCACAGAGAGGAAGAGGAGGGGGACAGTGAAGTCTCTGCTGCTGACCTGAGGTCTTACCTGCTCCGGTTAGCTGCCTGTCTTTAGAAGTTGGTGGTGTTCCTAAAACCACACAACATACCTGTCAACAGCCTCATCTACCACTGACTCTCTGAGGGTCTCTGCTGCGGGACACAAGGCCTGACCTCTGACCTGACCCTCACTGTCTCACTGCACAATAGACCATCTAAAGAAATGTACAATCAATTAAAACTCTGCATTTCCTGCCGTGTGATGTTGAAAGTTCTGCCATAAAATGAGGCTATTTGTGTTCTGCATATACTGTGAGCCCTCATAATAACAATACATTTTTGTTATTACAATATGTAACAATATTCAGGGACTCATTTATAAAACTTCTGAAGAAATATACTTGGGAATGCTTTGTAAAGCCATAAAATACATCAAACCATGAACAAACTCCTATTAACCGCAGACAGACAAAAACATCCATCCACCAGTTTCTAAAAAAGATTATAAATCCATGCATTAAACTCAATATGTTATAAGTAATTGACATGTTAAATGAACAATGCTATATACTATTGTATATAAATAGGGTTGAAATAATAGTCATTGGTCAAAATGTACTAAAAAATAAAAAATATATCTGCTGCTGGAAGACGAGGAAAATCAAAAAGTTTGATTAGTCGAATTTCAAGTTATAATGAATAGCTTTTATTAGGGGTTATGAGTTAGTGTCAAAGTAAAAGAATTACATAGAAAATAAAGGACAGTTTTAGTGGTTTAATGAATCCAGCCCTGGACTTACGCGTCGTTGCACTGATCGTTGGCGGCCTCCTCGGCCACCAGGATGTCGTACTCCTCCGCAGCGTACTTCTCCCAGTCGGAGAACTCCTGGCTCTCTGTCTCCATCTCCTGAAAAAACACCACAAGAAACGTGATCCCCTCGACCTCTGACAGAAGAACAAGTTGTTTCTGTCTCGCATCGTCTGACATCCTTACCCTGATCACAGAGAACGGGTCCTTCTGCTCGTGGTCCAGGTACTTCTCGATGTTGAAGAACGTGTCGAAGAAGATGTGGGACAACTTGCACCTCTTCAGGTCCCGCAGAGTGATCTTACCTGGACGGGATAAAAGATCACTTTAGACAGCGGCAGAGGATTTATGGCACAGGGATTATAAAAGTATTTAGGATGCCTCAGTACAAGGTTTTAGTCTGACGTTGCCATTCACTCTAGCTTTTCAAAATGGGCCTGAGAGTTATACAGAAGTGTCTCAGGGATTATGAGTGTGATCTCTTGTCTACTGATTAAACTACAAAACAGCTGGGCCACACTACTTCAAGCTAAAACTGTTGCCAATATTTTCTTTTATTTCCATGAATTTGTCAATGGTATTCGAATGACCTGCCTCATCTGGTCTCTAACATGTTAAATAATAAATAAATGTGTGTGACAAGTTGTAAGAGTTTACTGTCAAGTTGTAAAATTGTTTATACAATACAAATCCTATTTCTTAAAGATGTAAAAACAGAAAGGAAGCAGCTTTTCAGATTTGAAAACCTTAAAATGTTTGGATTCAATGATACAAAACAAATGACCGTGTATTCAAACATTTTTTTATCTGGATGAACATGTTGTTAGCCAGCCTAACCTCTCATGCAGCTGTTTAAAAGGCTTTAAGATTTCAATGTAACTTCCACAGCGAGCCTGGAGGCTGATGCTAGCTCATACTAATTCAAAAGGCGATTGATTCTTAAATTAAACTTTCAACCCAAAATATATATTCTATGTCATGCCTGAAATGAATGGCCGTGATTTGAATATCTTTGGAGCCCTAAAAAAAGTCCCTGGTTCTGCTTCTGAAAGTTCTGTATTTCCTGACAGTGGCATTTTAGACTGGGTTGTTTATGAAAACTCCTCTAGACTCATCTGATCTGCTGTTAACTGGTCATCAGTGTAATATATCCATCTACAACTAATCTAACTGTACGCCTGTACTGAAGAGCAAAGATCTTCTAAGAATACCACATTTAATGAGACATTTTAACAGACTTTAAAACTCTTAAAACGGTTCATGTCGGGAGGAGGCATAACTGTGGAGGGAAATACCATCCTCAAAAATAAGTTGTTGCGTCTCGTATTACATGCTATAACACACAGTTGCAGTAGCAGCAGGTCGAGTAAGGGGCACATTCCTGCTGCGGCTATCAATACTAAACATGCATACTTCACCGGGGACTAGTGTCTTCTGAGCTAAGTGCTGGCGGGCATTTGTTGACAGTGTGGATGACACCGACAGCTGGCATCAGTCTCATCTGTTCCCCCTCCCTCAGCTCAGGATCAATGTGTGCGTGCGTCTGCCTCTCTCCCCGCTGTCTGACTTTCCGGTGTGTGTGTGTGAACTTGTGTATAAACGTGAGAAAAGGTCTGACCTTCCACTTCCGGCTTGACGAGGTCCAGCATTTGGCAGAGGCAGTCCTCGAAGGGGAGAGGCTCGATGGCCATGGTCTCCAGCTTCTGGCACTGATCCTCGTAGAAGTACTCCAGCTCGTACATGCTGAGCACCCCGTCCCCGTCCAGGTCCATACAGCGGAACCAGTACTCTATACTGAGAGGGGGGAGGGGTAAATAAGCAGAAAGGTGCTGTAAGAAAAGACAGAAAGGTTTTAAAGAAACAAGAGATGCAATCAGTGTGGGTGTGAGTCTTCATGAGGGGTATTTTCATAAACAAAACAAAAATAGGCAGTGAAAAATATTGTCGTTAATTAAAACTTAATAAAAATAATTTCCTATAAGAAAAACATAACTGAAATGATATAAACCTGGTAATTTTTTTTTATAATTGACCCAATTGATTTAAGTTTCAGTTATTTAGCAATTATGTATATCAATAACAGACACGTGCCTTTTTGGGGCGAATGTTCTGAGCCGGAAAAAGGTGGAACCTTAATCCCAACAAAAAATGGCTACGTACACTCACACACACACATTAGTTATTTTCAGCATATTCAGACAGATGACTGTTTTGATGACACTTGTTGAATGTATAATGTTTAATGCCTGATAAATAATGTCTATGTCGAGTCAAATACAATAAAAAAAAACAAGGACATCATTTAAGTATTGGAGATCAAATGCCAATAACCAAGCTATTCACTCGGTCTAATTTAATCCAACTGGGGTCATTTTCCTGTGGTAGAAAATCTAAAAGATGTAAACATTATGACTATTCCTATAAAAGATGTTTAAGCATGTGTTTTCTATGTATATTTAAAGGTGGGGTAGGTAATTTTGGAGAAACCGGCTCGAGATCGCTAGAATTTGAAAATACACAGCCGAAAGAAATCTGCTACTTCCTTACAGAGCCCCTCCTCCAACACACACGAACGCGCACATGACCAATGAAGGCACGAGATAAGTTTGTGCACAGCTGGAAGGCTGACAGGCAGGTAGGCCATCCAGTTATTTTAGCCGGGCCGGCTCAGATGATTGGTCGTGCTTTTTACAGTATTACCGTTTCCACAGATGACATTTTTTAATGGATTTTTTGTCAAAGCACTTAAGATATTCATTGCTATCGGGATGTTAAGAGCATTCCATGGAATATAACAAAAAGTGTATCTCGAGCCGGTTTCTCAAACTTACCTACCCTACCTTTAAGCATGTGTTTTCTATGTATATTTAATGACATACATGTGTGTCATTAAACCTGGCCATAACAAAAACAACACCTACTGTAAAACCAAAACTAAATCTTACAGAATCTCAGCCAGAATTTGGAATCGCAGAAAATGAAATGAAAGCAAATTCTAAATTCTAAACGTGTACAGACTTGGTCTACACACCTGGTGTCGGTCTTCTTGTCCTCCTCAGAGATGAGGAACCAGACAAAATCAGCGTAACTCAGCCGCCCCTCCTTGTACACCTTTCGGTCTCTGAAGGAAATAAAAAACAAACTGTTACTAATGCCACCTAAAGAGTGTTGTTTCTCAAATTAAAATGATTTGCTCACAACTTGTAATTGGCATCTTTAAAAAAAAACTCCCATTAAAATCTCCACGTACCTTGTGACTGTCCCTGAGAATATCCTCTCAATCATCTTCTGGGAAAGGGCTGGAAAAACACAGCAAAGAGATCATTTAAAATCCAGGCTGTTGGAAATAAAAACCTTTCACTCACAGCGCTCTCAGTTAATGTACATCTTATTCACAACACATGTCATCCATTCTCACAGACTGTAAATCCAGAGTGGCTAGTCTAAGCTCTTATTTTTTGTATCTTGACAACTCTATAAATCCTCTGGTCATCGTTTGGCCATGTAGTCGTAGAAATTGTTCCAGACATGGCGTCATTCGAGGCAGAGTATAAATGCTGCTCTCTTATTGATCTTGTGTCTCATTTCCCCTGCCTCACTCACAGACCATCAACTAAGAACATGTGGTGTGGAGTGTGTGTGTGGAGAAGCGCCAAAGAGAAGTCTATTTCTCACAGTGTGTGTTTGTGTGTGAGCAGTAGACCCAGACAATAACACTAAAGCTTTTTATTTGTACATGAAAGTTTAACCTTCTGACAGTGCCAACAAATGCATGGGAAGTGAGAGAAAAGCTGTGTTCTGACAAGGTTTCAGCACCTTTGTTGTTTGAACTGTGTGTGGGAGTACAGACATCCAGTTGATCTGAAACCAACTGAGACTAGACTGCTGCGTCTCCTTAAAGGTCCCCTATTATGCAAAATCCACTTGTTCATGTCTTTTATACATAAATATGTGTCCCTTCTGTGTAAAGAGATTCTGAAAGTCTCAGGAAAAAAAGATTCGCTCACTTTTTGTCCTGATCCATTTATATAAAAACCTGTCTGATCAGATTTGGCTACTTTGTGATGTCACAATGTTTTTTTGGCTTGTGCAACCATTAGCCAATCACCAACCAAGGTAACACCCGCCCACCTTATCACCTGAATCTCCTCCTAGAGCACCATTGTGTTCTTTTTAACCAATCATCTCGCAGAGCTATATGGGGAGGGGCAGTTCATTTGCATTTAAAGCTACAGACACAGAATCAGCACTTTTGAAACAGGGCTGAAACAGAGGGGTTTATGGGATGCTACAATGCACGATCGGTTTGGTGTTTTGAGCCAAAACACTTCAGAGACATGTTTTGTATATATCCGAGACCTATAATATATTGTTTGAAGAGAGTAGAATAGGAGCCTTTAAAGAGAGGTGAACCTTGGTCATTGTGCTGGGCCAGGTCTTTCTGGTCTATGTAGAGGTCGTGGTCGGTGTCCAACTCCCAGAACTTGCAGTAGATAACGTAGAAATGTTCATAAGAGAAGAAGTCTGTCAGCTGGTTCACGTCGTCCTCCTGCTCCAGCAGCGCCAGATTCTGGGACAAACGAAAAGTCAAAATGTCAATGATAGGTTTTTGTTTTATAGATGGTCAATCTACCGGTACAATTTGCCAATGTGTCTATTGTAAATATCCATTATAGTTTACAGACAGGCTGCGTTGTTCATTTATTACCTTCTACACGTGGGGTAATCACACATGCAAAATTGTTTTCAGGTGCAACTAGAAAGACACCCTTACACCCTTGCCTTGCCTTGCCTTAGTTTTACCTAAAATAAATTGGTTTAAATAATAAATAAAAACAAGAACAGATTAGGCTACCATTCTGGTGAGAATATTGTTATCATACCAGATATAAAAAATGGACAATACAACCAAAAATAATTAATATAAAAAAACGTACATGATTACCACAATGAAAACGTGTGAATTTGAAGATAAATGTTTTTAATCAATAACTTGAATGCTACCTTTACATTTTTTTTAATTTAATTATGATTTAAACATTTATATATTTTTTAATCAGATACACCTAGTAACACAGAAAGTAGATTATAGTACCAGAGATAAAACATTGGTTTGGTTTTGTAGTCTTGTACCTGAAGTAAGTTACTTTTCCTGAGCTCACAACATGTTATTCTTCCGGTCCATGAACGATTCACATTGTAGAATATCCTCTGAATCACCTGAAAAACAGTAGACTGTGTTAACAACTAAATATTTCACCAGAAAAAACATTTTGAGGCATTTTTGCAATCTTACAATAGTAATGTGCTGTTATTTGAGTCGTGTTAGCATACCGTTGTGATGTATCGTGAGTGAAAGTCCGGTGCCTCCTTCAGAAAGGCCAGGCCTGCGTGTGTGTTCACCACATCCTGAAAACCATAGAGTAAAGTCAGCTCTCTTTGTCTGTCCTGCACGTCTGACTCAGCTCCATAACAAACCCCTCAAAACTAACAAACCGTGAACAAAAGAACAAATCAATGACATGCTGTGCTTACAACAAAAACAAATACACAAGTTCAGTCAAAATCTGCAGTTACTTTCAGAAACGAGTCAAATGGCAAACCACATGTGCCTTTCTTTTTTGTTGCTCAGAACACATGACATTCAGAATAGGCTTTTAAATGCCTGCTTATTCAAACATTCAAAGTTGTCAGTGTCCATCTACATCACTCAGCGCATATGCTTTATACATTTTGCCACGTAAAGAAAAAGCTGCAGGCCTTGTTGGAAGAGGTCATCACATTTAAATAACTATTTGAAGTCAGAAAACACCGGGTCAACCGCTTTTGGGATGTGCTTAAGTCTTTTGGCTCTGACAGCAAACCGATGAGAAGGCCAGAGAAAGGCGTTTTCTGGAGACTGCTCTTCACCTTCCTCATGCCATGAAGTCACAGGGGGTGTGCTGCATTTCAAATAAACTGTAGCTATATTTTTTTCCCATGAAACTCCCCCCACGTCTTTTTTTTTTTATTCTACCCCCTTCCATTTACTCTGCTGGGGGAAAGAGTTGTTGACATAAATGCGAAGGCGGCAATGAAATTAAAAGGCCTTATTTCAGGGCAGCCGTCGTGCCTCTTTGACTCTTAGTGTGAGAAATTAAATCATAGAGAAACACATAAATCACAGCGCACAGGAAACAGGCGGGGACAGTCAAATCTACTCCACTGCAATCCGCCTTTCATTCATCAAAACAGTCACAGGCCATTCGCCGGGCGGAGGGTTACAAATTAAACGGCGTGTGCCACAAGGCATCTCTGCTGGTATGCTAACGGCTGTTCAGTCAGCCCCCCCCCCCCCCCCCCCCTGCCAGCATGAAAATGAATCAGGTGTCGGGTGGGGCTGGTGTGGAGCACCAACAGCTTGTCAGGGGGAATGAGAAGACAAACAGCCAGCACAGCAGGTTCACATGGTAAGGCCGACCAACAGTCAATTAGACTATGCTTAGAAATACATTTGATAAATCTATGTCATTTCTAGGATTTATTTGTTGCTTTAATTTGTTTTAAAGGTCACCTATTATGCAAAATCCCCTTTTGCATGTCTTCTATACATCAACATGTGTCCCCTTTCAGAGATTCTGAAAGTTTCAGGAAAAAAGATTCTCTCACTTTTTGTCCTGATCCATTTATATAAAAAACCTGTCTGAAAATGAGCTGATCAGATTTTGGCCACTTTATGATGTCATAACGATTTTTTGGCTTGTGTAACCATTAGCCAATCACCAACCAAGGTAACCCCCCCCCCCCCCCCACCGTATCACCTGAATCTCCTCCTAGAGCACCATTGTGTTCTTTTTAACCAAATATCTCTCAGACGGGCGTGGGGAGTGGCTCCTTATTTTCATCTAAAGACACAGACAGAGAATCAGCACTTTTGAAACAGGGCTGAAACAGAGGGGATTATGGGATGCTACAATGATCTGTTTGGTATTTCGAGCCAAACACTTCAGAGACATGTTTTGTATATATCTGAGACCTAGAATAAAGTAATGAAAAACAGTATAATAGGGGACCTTTAAATAAGAACCATGTCCATCCCTCTTTGGTTCTTTTCTGCTGAGCTTGAATCCTACACTGATGGGGTCTTCTTTCAGTATCTCCCCCTCCACTGACCTACAGTAGCTTCCCTGAATTAGTTATCCGCCATATGAAAAAGCACTACTTCATTAGGACAGGCCTTAAATGAAGTCCAGTTCCCACCACCCACGCAAATCCAGTTATGCCACCCAGCACTGCCAAGTCCAGCCCTCCACCTGGGTGAGCTGCCGCCAGTACCTGCAGGAATGGAATAAAGTCGTCTTGTTCCAGGTAATTACAGCCAGGCTTGGCCAAGAGGTGCACAAATTTAGTAGCGTCGTCGTGACAGGTCTGCAGAGTCCTGGAGGAGAAAAGAGAGAACAGATGGTTGCAAGGCTACTCCCTTATGTTCGCTCTATTCTTTTTTATCATTCTTTCAAGAGCACAAGTTTGAAATGTTTCCCCCCAAAAGTGCAAGCGCAGGTATAATACATTCTGAAATTAGGATTCTGAATCGCTGCCTGGTGATTATAAGCGTCAAGTGTTGCGGGGGAAATAATGCCTGTGGCCTCTCATCTAAGAATGGCTCAGTCATGAGCTCAAGTCAAAGGCCAGGTCTATCAGCCCTCTAGGCTCGCACATTAATACAAGAGCATGCCTATTGCACACAACAGCATTCAACTAAGAGCACAGACGCCATTACAAAAGCCCTATGGTACCCTTTACAATTTCACACAGAAAGACACTGAATAGATGTTTTCATTTAAAAAAAAAAAAAAAACTGTATATGCCCAGCAACTATTCCCTTCTGAGTGTTTACGAGGCCTTTGTAATCAATGATATCTGTTTAGAAATGAAAGCAGATGTCAGAGAGCTGCATGCCACGTCTGTCATTTCAGTGAGCGGTCATCTTTGTTTCGAGGAGATTGTACGAGCTGTTTGGCTGGGAGTATCAGTGAGAATAAGAAGAGCCATTGTCTTACTTTCTCCACATAGCCACGAACTTGTGAACGGACACGAAGCCGGTCCTGTCGCCTCCAGCCAAGCAGAACAATGGCATTTTCCAGTAGAAAGGACACTCACAGGCCTGGGGAGACAAGTAAGCAGATCAGATACAGTGTGTGGAGTGGCTATAGAGAGGAGAGATGGGAAAAACACTGCATTTCCTTTACACATGTGATTGTCATGCAGAATAGAACAGCAACAATGACTCTGTAGGGTGGGCTGGCGGTAGTGTTGCAGCACTTAAAGACCCTCAGGAAACCTAGCTGTCATTTATCTCTTCACTCAGGTTCCCCTCAGGGCCATTGCTCACATTCCTCAGGGAGACATGGATAATATTTTTGGAAGAGGTTTGAAAATCAGCAAACATTTGTAAATGGCACTAATGGGAATCATTTCCTGGGTGGCAGCTTCACCTCGATGCTTCACATCACATTCTCACCTTGGCGACCTGCCCCATGTCCTCAATGGTGGCCCTTTCATTTGGGAATTGGGAAAATGTTTTCTCAATTTTGGTAATGAGGGTGTCGATGTTGATGTTGGCTTGCGGCCGTCCCTTTGGGAAGTAAAACTTTGGAATGCTTTCACTCAGCGCTGTGGGGACGGGCTTCTCCGTCCTCACCTGGGCCTGAGACAAACATACAGGAAAAAGAAGGGTTAGCAACTGATGCTAGCACAGGCTAACTGCTCTCAGATCAAGCATTCCAGCATGTGCTGAGGCTCGCCTTGATGAAACCTTTACACTGCCAGCACTAACACACCTCTCATCAGCCCCCTCAGGGAAGAGCAGCTAATGGTTATAGTAATGAACCATTTATCCGTAATAAATGCCTGTGTTAGACTAAACCCTTTAAAAGATTGTAACTCAATAATTAAGAAGTGACACTAATAAGTGTTAAACGGCTTGATTGATAATAGACTGAAGCGTAAACCCCTTGATTGACAATAATTGAAGAGAGTCAGGTATTTGAATCCTCTATATACACCCCCACATAATTCTAGATACGGCTGAGGACTTGATCTATAAATAAAATCTAAATGTGGTAATCTACTGACAGATGTACCGTTCCATTTTCATTTGATATGCACAAGCTGACCCTTTCTTAGTTGAGTCAACTAATTCATCTTTTGTTTTGGTGTCTTAGTCTGAAGTTGACCGTTAGTCACCGGTCATCACTACAAGGTAATCACATCTGTGGCATCGCAATAATGTTTAATTAAGAAGTATATTTTGGTCATCAAAATAGATTATTTTGAACAAAAGGGTATCTCTATAAAACAAAATAAGGTAACACAAGACAACCACATCTTTTGAGTTACTCATGTTTCAACATGTTATTGACAGTTGCTTGAATTTAATTTATGTAAATCTATTCAGAACTGATGTGCTTTAAAAATATTGACTGGATGTCTAATAAGTATAATATTATTTTCTTTAATGGTCAGTCCTAATAAATAACTAGATGCAATGCAATGGCATGATGCGTAAACCTTGGCTGGGTTTACACAGAGTTCTTGATTAAAGGCAAACAGAGGTTTTAATGCCAGCTCTGGAGATAGAAGCAGGGCTGCCATGTTATGTGTGTGTGTGTGTGTGTGTGTGTGTGTGTGTGTGTGTGTGTGTGTGTGTGTGTGTGTGTGTGTGTGTGTGTGTAGACTGTAGAGGTACAGTAACAAAAACCTTCAAATATGTCAGAGCTTGGAATCATCTGTGTGCGCTACTTCTGCCAGGGACCCAAATGATAGATCTGTGTGAGGCTTTAGCAGAATATGCTATTAATCTGTACAAATCATGCTGGAAACCAGTCTATCCTTGTATGTCTAATGGGAATGACATAATGCAAGCTCTTTATGTGATGATCATTTTGTTTCAAACCAGTATGATTTACTGAGCACAGCTGAGATACTGTGAAGAGATCACATCCATTGATACAAAAAAAGTTCAATGGCAGTCTTTTAAATCTGGGTTATCATCATTATTTTTTTAAAACAATCATATCACTAATGACAATTTTGTGAGAAATTCAGTTTTCTTATCACTGATGCTTGGCCATTGGCCCGCTAGCTTGTTGGCTGTTTTATCTGCATACTTTAACCTGTGAGATTGAAACGTTTATTTGTATATACATTTTCCAAAATTAGGTTTGGCGACCCCCGCTGCGGGCCCCTGCCTCCCGTGTTGGGACCCACTGCTGTAGAGGGCATTAATCAGTGAGGGTACACCTATAAAAAGCCAGGATGCATTTGGTCCAAAGTGTGTTATGTGCACATATTAGCCACTTACTAAAAACAGCTTGAGCAGAGAATGCTTCACTCTCGTCATCTCGTACCCAAAGACCTTACATGAGTCAGGAATTTGCTAACTGGCCACCATGACCTTTAATTATCACATGACAGACCCACGCAGGCTAAGAGACAACAACAATTATCATCTTGTTTTTCTCTGACATGTTCTACCACTTGTTCTCAACTCTGGCTAGAAATTGGCAAAAGCCCAAAACGCCATCATTAAAGCCTTAGAATTATAGAGCAGAACATAAGAGGGCTAAATCTATCCATGTCCGTTTTCTACATGATATACATGTCAATACTGATCTAAATAGTTTTGCTGTGTTCTGCCAGCTGTAATCTGCTCATTTCCATCGGATAAACGATAAATGCGGCTGATCCTCTTCTCTGTCCTGTGTGTTGGCGTCAGCCATGGCTATAAAAGGACATAAACATCTCCAGTGGCCCTGCCCAGCAGCGTCCCCTCTATCTCTCTCTCGCTCCATGCTAACCACTAGCAGAGCTCTTGAGCACATCCGCTAAGCCCCATGACATTTTGCACATTCACAATGATGTGGTCTGTAAGAGGAGAGTAAAGCAGCTGAACACAACATACCACACAAGATGAAAACATCATCTAATAACCATAGCTTACATCATTCACTTTTTAAAATGCCCCCCCACAACTTATCATAAATATAAAAATCACATTGCCATATGACACAGCAGTGTGTGGAAGCTATTTGAATAATGCTGCCTGGAGAAAGTGATACAAATGATTTGTCCTCACTTGTCCGAGGTGTGCTGCTGGTTCCAACAACACATATAGTTCCACTTTGCAAAGAACAATAGCCAACAGTGAGGAATAGGTACATTGACAGCGGCATGTTAAATAGCACATTTCCACAAAGGCCAGCTGAATACCAAAACATCAAACCCACAAATTCTACTCCACATTTAAAGACCTGCCCACTGGCTGACAGGCCAGAGGAGCCTGTGTGGGCGAGGGTACACTCATACAAACACCTGCCTGTCCTTGTTGGAAGGCTCTGAGCCTCTTCTTGAATCGAGAGGGCAGAACAAAGTCACAGCCGCGTGCCAGCAGGGCCAACTCCTTCCTCAGGTCAGGGTCCTGACGCAGAGAGAGCTCCCTCATCCTCATCCTCGCTCCGGACAGGATGGGGAAGACATACACAAACACAACAGTGAATCCGGCCGGTATCCTCTTGACTTGTGTACAAATCACTCAGTGAGCAAAAGGCCGTGGCAGCAGTGGAAGTCCTCTGTGTCCCTGTGATTGTCCTCTGTCAGAGTGAGAGCCTCTTAATGCAAGGGAGCAGCTGCTACTGTGACTCTCTCTCCCATTCCAGATCTGGTCGCACAATCTCAGCTCTGCCTGCCGCTCTGTCCCAGCCTCTACATAACATGCACATACGCGCACACACACATACACTGTGCGGGGGTCAGGGAGCCCTTGCCTCAAAGCCGGTGGGGCGATAAGAAGCGACAGGGTGTTTGTGTGTGGGAGTCACTTACTGTACGTGTGGGATGGAAGGGGTGTGTGCAATGAATCTGCCCTTTCCAGTTTGCATACCTCTGTGCTCAAGGAAGGTTATGTAAAGAGACAGACCTGTTGTTGCAGCTTGCAGCACCCTCCGAAGCCAATTAAAGGATGCACCTCAATACCAGGATGACTCACCACTCATAACTGCGCACCACAACCAAATACTGCAGAGAAACTTTGTTTGTGTTCCGAGGCCTTCAAACCGAACCCCCCTTACTTTGGGCAATCCGTACAGACACTAATTGGGACATTTAAAATAAAAACCTAGAGAAGATAATGCGCCTATATCTGTCACTAAATCTGCCTGAAAGAATACATCACAGAACAACAGGCATACAAAATAAACTCAACGTGACTTCGGCGAAGCGACAACACATCCAAGATATGACTGCTTGCTTAGGAATAGATAACAAGAGGTCATGTCACCAGATGACACATAAACAACTTTAAGAGTTACATATATTCAAGTATTCTGTATCGAATCTATGGTGGTCTTTGTTTTGCCTTCCTCTTGCAAGCTTGGGCTGCCAGCCATTCCCCATCTTATTATAGTTGATGGGCAATGTAGGGGGGGGAGGACACATGTCAAATTCAAAGAATGATGACCGAACCAGTCTGCGCCTATTAAAAGCACCAGCAAGCACTGTTTGGGCAATTCAAGAAACTAGATCTGGAAAACAAGAGTGTATCTTTACTTCTCACAAAAATATCCGCTTCCGGTTGCTGTCCTGGAGTGATGGCAATTACATCAATTCCCCACAATGTGCTGATCTAACAGCTCTAGGGTTGCCTTCACTGCACTGACTGTTCACAGGGAAAGCCCAACACCTACATGTATACGCTGCTGTTAATGTTAATTAAACAGAAAAGGTACAGTGATGTGCTGTGCACATCAGTGGGCTACGTCAATAAACTTTATTGTTATTGTTGTTTTACACAGAAAGTGAAAGCACACCCACATTATTTTTAGATGACAGGATCAAAAAGTCCACAGTTTTCCACTAGTTTCTGCTCAAACCCAGTTCCTGTTATCGTCCACACACACAGGACACTGCACATGCTTGATAAGCTGTTTGTGTGCTGGCTTTTTTCACACTGGCGGCTTTTTGTTCTTGCTCATCAATGCAAACTAAATATGGAAAAGAGAGCCCAGAGGCCAAAATAAAACCTGGTAAATCACATGAAACCGTCAACTCGCATGCAATTCTGTCCTGTCCAATTTTGCGTTTGAAGCAAGGTAAAAGAAGTGTGTTTCGCAAACAGAGGTTTCACAACACAGCAGGGATAATGATGTGTTGGTTTGCATATGAAGCAACAGCCCCCTTGGTGTTTTAAAATCACAAGGCACATTTTCAGTAGCAGTGTGAACTGAGTCAACAACACAAACACAATAACACACACATGTTCTGAATATAAGCTTTCTTCGGTATGGTATAATGTGGCTTTTCAATAAGCAGAATGCTAATAAGTTCCAGCAAGCATCTTCCCTAACCAAATCGTGGTAGGGCCTACACAGAAAGCTTGTCCAAAAAACGTTAGCCTCAGAGGAAGCTACCAGTCGACTTAAGGCTGTTAATGCTGCTAAAGTACCATGTCCTCGCTCTAATGGGTCACTGTGACAAACAGAAAAACACGAGAACTCAGACTGACCCCACAACATGTCTAGTCTGTAAACTATTTAATCTGATTTGTACAGAAACGTGTCCAATCGTTGTCTCTTTATCGCATAACACATGAGATTATGAAACACACTGTCTGCAGTTAGCGACTACTGGAAGGTCTAAGTTGAAACTCCC